TGAGACATGATGTATGCATATACAATAAAGTGTTACCTGGCCTTAAACAGAAATTCTGGTACTGTATACCATAACATGAATGAACCCTGATGACTTTATGCTATGTGAAACAATCTTACCATAAAGACCAAGAAGTAGCCAGGCACAGTGGCACCAATCTGTAATCCCGGATACCTGGCAGGCTGAGGAAGGAGGATCATAAGTATGAGCCCAGCTTAGCTACACCCAATCTCAAATAAAAAATAAAAAGGGCTAGGGAAGTAATTCAGTGTAAAGGAAGGCCCTGGATTCAATACCCAGTACACTAAAAAGAAACAAGGACAACAGTATCAAAAAAACCCAAAACGCCCCACCCCATTCATACATTTAAAACCTTCACCCTTCCTGGAGGTGAGGGTATCTCAAAGTAGGCCCTCTGGGAGGGGACTGAGTCAGAAGCCTCAGGAACAGGACCAGTAAGCCCTCTTCCACAGGTGAGTAGGGAGACTCTGGGAAGTGTGCCTTCAGCAAACAAAACCACTGGGGCCTGTGTTGTGAAAATTAAGTTTGTTCTCTTTAAGCTACCGCAGCCCTAACCATGGCATGATGAAACCTTAAAAAATACAACCAAAAATTTACAAATCCTTTATCAGAGGAAGAGGAGGAAGAAATAACAAAAGGAACACAGAAAAAATCCAAATGGTTAAGACATTTATGAAAGCATACTTTACCTTAAAAATAATGAAAGCAATAAGTAATTATTGAATATAGTAATACAGTAGTCTGATTTTAAAATTAAAGGCTTCAAATACTTTAGCTAGGTATGAAACTACAGACATGACAAAAATCAAAGAATAGTCTGAAGTAAAACATTTTTCCTTTTTCCTTTTTTCCCTAATACTGGGGACTGAAGCTTGGACCTTTACACTGAGCTACATCCTAGCCTTTTATTTTGAGACAGGTCTCACTAAGTTGCTAAGTTGCCCACACTTCGGTTGAACTTGTAATCCTGTCTCAGCTTCCCAGAGCTGAGATTCCAGGCACACTCCACCACACCAGGTCACACTAGTGAAACTTTTTAGATAGAGTTTGCAGTAACTAAAATACTACTTATATTCCCCTTTATCTGACAATTTTATTTCTGGGAATTTCCCTACTCACTGTAAATATGCAAAAACACCTATGCAAAAGAATGATCATTACAGCGTTCTTTTGATACTAAAAACTCTGAAGAAAATCAAAACCAAAAAACATCAACAGGAAACTATAAAAACTGCAACAGATCTGTATAAGACACTATTGTCATTTAAAAAATTAAAGTAGTCATAATTTATACGGACTAACATGAAAAGTACGAAAGAAATCTATTTTTAATCAATAGCAAGTTGCATTATAATGTGTAATAGCATCTCAGTTTGCTCATGTAACTTTTTAGAGGGCTAACTAGTAACCGAACTCAGAGTCTCATCCATGCTAGAGAAATGTGTGCCGCTGAGCCACATCCCCATCCCACACAATGCCATTTGTGTTTAAACATCAAAATAAAACCTGGGCCATATACAGAGAAAAAAAATTGAAAGAATAAACACCAAAAACCATGCACTATATAATACTACAATATTTTAAATAACAATAACAGTAATAAAGTTTTTACTAAGTATGAGTATTTACTGTACCTTCTATTAGAAAATTCAGCACTATCCCCTTTACCATTTCAACTAAGCAGACTAAACAATGGTGACTATCTGTAGACATTGATCATTCTTCACATTTTAGCCACTTGAGTACTGTACAGGGGTTACAAAATTGTGAAGTTAAAATGATACAAGCAATGATGGTACGTGCCCATAATCCCTGCACTCAGGATGCTGAAGTGGAGATCACCCAGTTCAAGGCCAGCCTGGACTACATTAGGAGACCCTACCTCAAGAAAGAGCTCTCATTCAGAGGATCACACCCATGTACTGACAGAGACACAATCTAGGCAGAACAGACAAAGAGGAGTCAAGCTGACACTATCTGTACAGGGCTGAGATAACAGACACACCTTCTCACTTACTACTCACTGTTACTCTCAGCGGACAACCACTTCAGACGACCAAATCTTAGAAAATAAATTCATCAAGCACATAAATCTCTCCTCTCTGTGGACCCTCCAAGTGACCAATGAGCCCATGTGTCCCTGTCTCCTTCCATGTTTCCTCCCAGGTAAAATGTATTTTGATTCCTTCACAAATTTAACAGCTGAACCTCTTAGTTCCCATCCTCTGGACACCCCTTACTTTTATGCCTCATTCCTGTTTTCCCTTCTTGACTATATTCCTTCAATCCCCTAAAAATGTTTTTGTTGACTTGCAGTCCTTATCAAACTACTCTTTCCTTTCTTGAAACAGTCTTCATCTCACCATTGTTCTGAAAATGTTAAAAGCCAAGAGTAACTGGGCACAGTGGCGCATACCTGTTATCCCAACACTTGGGAGGCTGAGGCAGGAGGATGACAAGTTCTAAAGTCAGTATTGGTTTTCAAGACTCAAAAATTTAAGCTGGGGATGTAGTTCAACATGAAGGCCCTTGGTTCAATCCCTAGTACCTGCTACCTCATGCACACAATTCACAGTACTGGGCCAGGCATGATGGTACACATCCATACTCCTAGCACTCAGGAGGCTCAGGCAAGAAGATTGAGCTCAGCAGCTTGTGATACATAGCAAGTTCAAGGCCAACCTAGACAACACAGTAAAGTTTTTTGGAGGGCAGTGAGACAGGGTCTTACTAAATAGTTCGGCCTGGCTTTGAACTATGTAGCACAGGCTTGCAGAGATCCTCCTGTCTCATCCTCCCAAGCACTAGGACTACAGGCATGAGCTACCACATCCAGCTGACAGCAATCTTGTCTCAGGAAAAAAAACCCAAAACAAATGAACAATAACAACAAAAAATCCAGTCTCATTTACAACGATCATTTCTTTAAGTCAAACAGTCTACTCCTAGTAGGATGGATTTCCACCACTCTTAGAATAAGCTTTTCATATTTCCCATTGTTGAGACTAATTATATGATTCTTAAAACAACTACAGTTTCTAAGAATTTATGCACAAAAAGAAATCCCAGTAAAGAGTATACTTAAGGGGGAAAAAGGAAAACACAAAAACATATTCTAATTAGAAAGGCAATTACAAATTTCATATTACAAATACTAGTATGTAAAACATAACACTGAAATCCAGTTTGTAAGTGCTTCTCCATTCAGAAACAAGAAAAACCATGGACCCCACATCGTAAGTGCTTTGTCCAATGTCTCACATTTAACCAAAATAAAAAAGCAGTGGCTTCAAAGGACTCAACATCCCCTAGCTAAACCCCAGCCTTTCCTGTCCAGTGAAAACTACATAAAAAACAGATAAGTGTCCCCAGAAAAACCTTAAGGTACCTGGGATTTTCTAGACAACTGCAGCATTTGTTATGCAAATCAATATCCACTGAAAGAACACAACAGATCTCAATTCTGTGCTTAAAATCCCTATGGGCATGGTGGAACAAGACTGTAATCTTAATACCTGGGAGGCTGAGGCAGGAAGACTGCCACAAATCTAAGACCAACCTGAAGTACACAGAGAGACCCTGTCTCAAAAAAACAAAATCCTTCAGTTTAAAGTCTGGAGTGGCAGTACATGCCTGTAATCCTAGCACTCAGGAGGCTGAGGCAAAAGGATCGCTGCGAGGCTGGCCTGGGCTGCACAGTGAATTCAAGGCCAGCCTGAACTACGTAGTGAGACCGTGTTGTGAAAAAAAATAAACACAAACAAATGGACAAAAACAACACACAACAACCCAGAAACAAAAAATGCATTAGTAGCCAGGTGTAGTGGTACATGCTTGTAATCCAAGTACTCTGGGAGGTTGAGGCAGGGGAAAATTGTAGTGAAGCCTGGGCAATTTTGCAAGACTCCCTCTCAAAATAAAAAGTAAAAGAAGGGTTAGGGATGTAGCTCAGTGCAAGGACCCTGAGGTTCAAGTCCTACTACTGCCAAAAAAAAAAAAAAAATTACTGAAATACACATTAAAACTTCTAACATTTCTTTCACCATTCCTAATAAATTACAGTATATAACATAATGATTAAGCGTTTATGCTCAAGAATTGAATGCCTGGATGTGCATTCTGGCTCTACCAAGTCCTTAACAACCTGTCTGGGTATCATTTCTGCAAAATGTGAATAGTAGTAGTATTTACCTGGTGGGGTTACTGTGTAAACTGTTAAAATCTAAAGTGCTTAGCACTAAGCCTAAAAGATAGTATGAATTACAAAATACTAGGTGGTCATGGTGCACACCAGTAACCCTAGCACTGTGAAGGTTAAGGCAAGAGGATCTTGAGTTTGAGGCCAGCCTTACACAGTAAGATCCTGTCTCAAAAAACAAACCAAAAACCACAAACAAAAAGGCTTCCAATTGTCAAGTTTTCAATTAACATTGGTTAGAATAGAGATTTTAATTCTGGACTTATTCTAAAACCCTCTCACCTATATCAGTCTGCTAATGGGGCAAAAATGATTCATTCACCGTGAAGAATACCGATTATTTATTTACATGAAGCTAACTGCAGGCACTGTGTAAAAGTGATCTGGTCTTTGCTTGTACACACGAGTTGTCCTCAGGCACCTGATCAACAACTGGCTCTCAGTAGGTGGCCAATATTTTTTTTGAAGGAAATGAATGAAAACCTGCGGCCAAACAGCCCCCAAAGTCTACGACAGGCCTGATCACCTACACTTCTTTACAATTAGCCATTCTGACCTCAGGATGACCTAAATTCCGCTTTCACTTCCCTCACTGGGCTACGTTTCCAGAACTCACAAAAAAGGTCCACCGCCAACGGACAGGTGCTCAGAGGACGTACGGAGGCGAAGGCCGTGCTGTCTTGCACATGCAAACCGGAGGACAATGCACCCTATGCATGACACTAAGAATGGAAACCAGTACCCTCTGCCTCGCGTCTGCAAAACGCACTCCGGGGCCCACCTGTCTTCTCGGTTATGTCTGAGTCGGGGGTGTCGGCCCTGCTCGCCCCGTCCGCGTTCTCCTCCTCCGCACTGAGCGAGATGGGCGAGGAGGGGCCGGGCGGCGCGGGCTGCGGGCGCGGGGGGCTCGCCTCGGGCGCGTCCTCCGCGCGGCTCCTCCTCTCGAAGCGAAAGCGGTCCAAGTTGAAGAGGTTCATGCTGGCGCGCGGCAGCTCTCTGCGGGCGGAGACGGGACAGGGAGAGGCGTGAGGACTCGCCAGCACAAAGCCCCGGGCGCCGGCCACAGGCAGGGCCCGGCCGCCGCGAGGCCGCGCGTCATTGTTCGCCGCGC